TAGTACTAGATGTACAATTAAAGGTGACAGTGGTAGTCGTAGTGATAGCAGTAGTAACAGTGGTAACGGCAACAATGGCGATACTAATGATGGCGCTACTAGTTGTAGTAGCAGTGGCGGTAATAGCAATAGTAGAACTACAAGTAGTAAAGTTAGTAGTACTAGTAGTAATTACAATAGTTGCAGCAGTGGTAGTACAAATCGTAGCAGTTGTTGTAGTAGCGGCAGCAGCAGCAGCAGTAGTGGTGGTGGTGGTGGTGTTGGTGGTGGTGGGGGGGGGGGCTGAAGGTCTGTCTACATTTACTACGCACAGCCTAGTCCCGCCTCCTGTACGGCGGCTCGGATTTCATCCGCGTGAGAGTGCCATAGAGGCCGTATTGAAAAGGGAAACTTTACAGTCTAACTCTCAGACCCCTTGTCACTTCAGAATATCCCAGTTAGGACTAAGTTATCCTATCAGTTGGCAGTCTTCCGAGCCACGGATATCCCACTGTAGGCATCTCTGACGGCTGTGCTGATGAACTCGAGGGGGAGTTCGAAACGTTAGACGAATAAACATCTTGCTTCCGCGACCGTTTCTTATCCATCTGAACTTGCTCCTTTCTCTTCCATGCATCAATCTACTGCCCGAAGCTCCGTACAGTGAGTAAATCGAAGAGGCTAACTGGGTACTCAAAGATTTCGTGAACCACAACAGTAATCCAGCTGATTCCGTCGGAAACAGTTAAATCACCATGAAATGAGTAAATCGTTTCAGTATCCTGAAAGACTTCTAGGCGTGCGATAAAATCTGCGATGAGCATTGTTTTCGTCGAAGCCTTTATGACCCCCAGTCATGGGAGTTTGGTCTACGAAGAACCACACTGGATTTGTGGTGATGATCCTGCTGGACATCTTTTTAATCGATTCTAGGTGCTCCTTGTCCGCTATAAAAGTGGCAGTACCATCTTTGGAAGTTTACAGTACCTTCGGCCACCTCATCTAGACTGTGGCATACAGGAGTGACGGTAATTTCTCGCAAATGGAAAGATATATTCGGAAGAAGAAGAAGTTTGTTGGTCTGACGTTTTGGAATCTCACTCGAAATCATCATCAGCGAAGGTCACAGATATAGGTAGTGGGAGCGCAAGCACTGAAATATTTGTGGTAAGCAGCTGCCGTGGGGCACATGCGTATTATAATTTACAGTTATTTTCGTATATCATGGAGCTAAACTACCGACCATTTCTAGGAAGACTGGAGTACCTTAATCAATCAACAAAGTGGTGGTCCTATCTAAGCCCAAAATATAATGCCTGGCCTTAAACAAGGACTGTGCTCCTAAGGCATGTTTCACTGGCATCTTACGCCTCATCTTCGTAGGCATTCAATGAAGTTACGCACAAATATGTCCGGGCTAAATCTGGACTCTGAATACTTTGTAAAACGAGCAATAGTGCAGTGGACTGATCTCTCAAAATCGGTTGTAGGGGTGACGTCTCATCACCTCAAGAAACGCTCTCCCAATACAACGTCAACCCCAGGCAGAAGTTTGTTTCAAAAACAGTGCTACGTCATTCATATGACACCATTGTGGGATTCGGATCCACGACATCAAGCGCAAGGCATGAGCACAGTGAATGCTCTAACCATCTGACCTACGAGGTCCTACCGGAAGCGGTGAGTTTAATCACACTTGGGTCAATGTATCCGCCCAACCTACCGCAACATCTGAAATCCACCAAGTCTGATACCGTAAGCTGACTGCCAAAGCAGGATTTCCTAAGTAATCCGTCTAGAATCCACCAGATGACTACCTGGCCTTTGTAGATACGATGCGGTGCAGGCGCAATCAGTGATTCCAGTCCGATTCTGACTAGTCACCACTGGAAACGCTTGTGAAAACTGCTTCCGAAGGTGACGATTCGATTACGTCGGCAAGGTCTAATCAAACAGACGGTAACTGTTAAGCTCATCCCCGCTTTTATTACGGATCCAACCAACCATTAATTTGTGCATAACGTTCTGGGGAGTGCGGACAGGAAACTACTCGCAACTTATTTTGACACAACTTTGAAAACCTCGATGACCTTGGTGAGTTTTGGACCCACGCAGTAAGGGGAAAGTTTTAGTACAGTCAACGCTCTAACCACCTGAGATACGTGGCCCCACCGGACGGCGCGCGTTTGATCCCATTTGGGTCAAGTTACACGCCCAACCTACTGCAACGTCTGGAATCCACCAAATCTGCTACAGTAAGTGGACTGCCCAAGCAGGATTCTCTAAGCAATCCATCTAGAATCCACCAGATGACTGCCAGACTCTACAGGGGAGGCTTTAGTACAGCCAACGCACTAATCATCTGAGATAAGAGTCCCCACAGGGAACTGTGAGTTTAATCACCACCTAACCCACTGTAACATACGGAGTCCACCAGTTCTGATACAGTAAGCCGACTGCCGAAACAGGATTTCCTGAGAGAGCAATCTTGAATTCACTAGGTAACAATCAGGTTTACTTAATTTTATTGACGTTTTTGGTAGTCGGTGCAAAAACGACGCCCCCTAAAACTCCAACAGTTTGTTCGGCCACTTTCATCCGCACACCCCTGTTACTTAACCTCTTATCAATGGCGGCTCCTGTCGGCTAACCGTCACGGGACGCTTTAGTCGTTGGATGAGACTTTTAATCTGCGGTCATAGACAACGTGTTAGGTCCTTCTGAGTCTACTGACCGCTGGCCCTAGGTTCGAGTCCGACCTCTTTCCAGCCTTTTTGAACCTCCGAATCCGCATGACGGTGTACTGGTCAGTTACCAAGATTGTGGCCTAGTGATATCCTCACCGGATGAAGACTATTCGGAATCTGCGGAATACCTGTCACGTCGGCTCAAGCCAAGCGAAGGCACTAAGAACTATAAATGCCTCCTTCCTGTGCCATCCACCTTTTTTCTGAAAATCGGGACTTGGTCTGATTATTGTGGCACTTTGAGTACTCTTTTTTTGCCCACAACCGTCATGTCTGGCGTCCTTATCCAAGGCCCCGGCGCATCAGTGTCATTTACCGTTTCAGCCGCGCTGACTCGTAGTCACTCAACCAACTTTGGTTCGGATGCAGCTGCCCACGCGCCCCTTGAACACAACATCACCCTGAAACCGGCAACAAAAGCCCCTTGAACGCTACCCCGCGGTAAATGTAACATGCAACAATTGGACACCACTTCAGATTGCTCCACGAAATTTCGACCGTCGCGTCCGACGATGTCCACTGTGTGCCCACAGCAGGTGTTGGGAGCAGGGACGGTGATTTGCGCGGGGTTTATAGTGCCGCAGACTTGCGCTGCATCTACCACACTCTCTCCTCCTCCCTACATGAGCCCGGTGTCAAGACAGAGTCAAGAAGACCGGAGATGAGGGAGGCCGAAAGCGGATGGCACGGTCGAGCCCGCACCTTGACGTTCCACCTCCCACGCCCTGGTCCACACAACAAATAACCAGGTTTTTGACCAACAACAACAACAAAGAGAGTAGAGGCTGGCACGGCCGAAGCCGTACCTAGGCGTGCCGCCAACGCCCCGCTCGTATCCCACGGAGTGGGAGTGTCATAGAGGCCACAGTAAGGAGGAGCCACTGCAGCCTGCTTCTCAGACCACCAGCCGACCATTCCATACAAACGCGCAGCACTGGGTCGACTGCGAGTTCCAAGTTATCCCGTCAATTGGCAACCTTCAACGCACCGTCATAGCTTCCAGCGCGTCAGATTGTTTAGAGTGAGGAGAATGCGCTGAGTCGTCGACCTCACTCTCCCTTCCCATTCCTACACCTCAGCCTCTGTCTGAGCCGGTCAGCTGACTGCAACGGGGAATGGGCGTGGTGGCTGACTTGGTCTGGTGACTTTGTCTGCGTGCGCCACATGCACGAGTTGGCTCCCCAAACACACACACCAGGATTTCACACAACGGGGGTTGGGCGACGTATCTCTCACACGCGTGAGAGTGCCGTGGAAGGAGCTGTTTCAGCCCGTCTCCCAGCCCACCAGTCCGCCACTCCACACAAACAGACACTACGGGACGGACTGCGTGGACCGAGTGGGGGCGTCAGTCAGCAGCCTTCCAATCCACGACGCTTGATGCGTCGGGACAGTCTCAGGCTCGAGTCACCCGTGCAACAGGAGTCGCATGGGGACCGAGTCGAGACGCACACGTCGCACTTGCGTGGGAGGTGGCAGTCGGGTGCTTGCGATGGGTGATGTTGTTGTGTGGTGAGATGGTGGTGACGGAGGGAGGGTGTGGTGGTGTAGTGCAGTCGACGGTTGTCTATCGCAAGTTTTCGTGGATGCGCAGGTGACCGAACAGACCGAATTGTCCAACAAACCTACAACAACTGTTGTCACCACCGTCTCCTGAAGTCACAGGCATGAATGGATGCAGTCGCTGCCGTCCATTGAGTGTACGACTCGGGGTTCCGTATAAAATAGCCCCCTCATTCTGGTGACTACTGCATTTTCCTACAACTCAGGATTTCACCTGTTATTTGGGACGTTCTGAATGCTCTAATCGCCTTTCGAAACGAAAATTCCCCGTTTAATGTCAGGATGTCGGCTGTATACACGTTGATTTGAGGCGGCAAGATATATTTATCTGTACTGCAGAGTTACGTTAGAAGGTTTAGGTTTAAAAAAGATCTCAGGAAGGATCATGTCTGTACAGCAGGTATTGTTCAAGCAACGGTTCGCTAAAGAGGTCTGGGACAGGACTAAAACAGCCGCTGTCTCACCTTTCCGACGTTCTTGAAGCTCTACCTCTGACCTTTAAAGACTCCAATTAACCCCGCCTAAGATACGGTTGTCAGCCCAAGGCTAATGCAGAAATTCTCAGATGTAAATATGCACAACCAGAGAGTCTGCGAGCCTTTTGGGGACGAGACCGTGGTCCAGGGCGCGTGGGCAATTCAAAACGCGTTCCTGTAATCAATAAATCAGTCAAAATGCCCCCCCCATTCACAACCCGCCCGTGTGCCCGGCATGTCTGCGGGTAAGGATCCCCGGTGTGAAACTCCGCCCATCTACTCCCCGCCTGCGCAGCCCATATGCGACGCTCAGGGTAATCTCTGGCCGTCTGCCGAACAGATCCCAATCGCCAAAACTGCCACCCCCAACCAACGCACTAAACTCGGCTACGACAACGATCAAATGCCCATGTGGTTGAGACCACGATGCCCTTGCTGTGGCTGCAGACAATTACCACCGGCCGGACCTTCCCACCGTCTGGATCATCAGAATGCCTGCGGCTACGATCCCACAGACCCCTGTGATCAGCTGCTCTACGAGGAGTACTATCAGAGCTTCTCCGACGTCTGTCCGCCCCACCGACGATTCTGCGCTCAGATCCAGCGTGCTATGCACAGCCCCTGCTGTGTTGCCAGTTGTCAACCAGTCAGTCTACCCATTGCCGGCACTGCTCAGACCTACATGGGACAGTGTCCGCAATCATCAGCAGCTCCTCCTCCACCTCCACAGGGACAGCCCTACGGGAACCCAAATGGGCGTTGGGACAACTGTTGTTGCGAGGGGCGAGCAGTGCAGCCGGATTGTGAATGTAGAAGACAGTGCTAATCGTTTCTACCTTACTTTGGTCATCATTTCTTATTTTAGATCCTTAAGTTCCTCTGTTCTTCTCCTAAGTTTCTGAGTTTTGGAAGATGCCATTTCTTTCCCTGTGTAATAAATTTATTTTTCCTAGTTGGTCTCCTGATTTCCAACTACTAAACGGTCAAATGGAGAGGCGGCTTCTTCGCGATTTGAAGTGCCAGCCGCATCTAGAGCTTACGGGAAACCGATGAGCAGGCATGTCTACTTTTAAAACTCAGTTTAGGACGCGCTAAAGTTGGTGTCCGTTCGTGTGGTTTGGTTGTATTAGAGAACATGTCGTAATTACCGCCATCGATCACATAACTCTCACTATAGACCTCTCCTGATTGCGAGACGGAGCGTGGGCATTTTCGGTTTGTCTGATCTCGCGCAACTGGAATTTTGTGATGGCTGGCTGATGATAGCTAGCAGGCCAAAAACGACTACCTCGAGACAAAGGCCGGAATGTCCCACTCTGTCCAACAATCAGGACGAACCAGGGAAGGCCACACCTATGTGTAACTCGCATTCAGCACGAACAATCGCTGCGTGCGGAGGAGGAGGAGGAGGAGGAGGAGGAGGAGGAAGAGGAGGAGGAGGAGGAAGGATTTAGAATGAGGGTGTCGGGGGACCTCAGTTTCTCTGATAGTCCTTA